CCCCACCCCCAACCCACACAAAACACACAAACACACACACGGAGTGTTACAACTCATATGTAAAATTTGGAATCAAGGAGGCAACGTGACCTATACATTTACTTTTTGTGAGAACGTGGGTGCTCAAAGGAAATCTAAAAATAAATCCACAGCAAACAGTAAGAATTTAAGCAAAATGTGTACCGAATATTTAAAGACAACAAGAACTGAGAACACTCACAGGAAAATTTGACGGTCTTGTTGACAGAGGGACCTGCTTGACCCAGAGAAGACTCAGAATGACAAGTCAACGTCTGGTCATTGTTGTTGTTCCCTGAAATGTTACATTATAATACACGTTCAGTAATTTGTCTACAAAGTTGGATATGTGTTGGTTTTGTGAATGAACCTTTCCTGTCCTTGTATTGAACTTTGACCAAAAAAATAATGTTGATTTTACACCGCTTCCTCCCTCCCTGGACACAATTTACATTATTTAGGAGGTGGGCCTTGACCCGGTCTGTCAGAGCCAAACAATGGAGAAAGGTATTATTATACAACGTCTTAGCAGAAGGGCCGAGATACTGGTTCTCGATTTCAAAACACAAAAAAAAGTTATCCACACATGATAATCGAACTTGAGTCTTCTGCTTATGATGGCGAAGCGCCGAAGTGCAATACCACAGACACCGGGGGTAATTGGATGAACGTGTCAAGTCTATATATTGCTGAGTTAATAACAACTGGAAGAACTGAGAAGGTTTTTTTTTCAAGAGAACGGGATACAGGGTTGCCCACATGCCATGTGACTAGGTGAAGCCGAGGAAGTTAGCAGGAGCATAAATCCATTCCCTTTACTCCAGGAGTTCGTGAGACATTCTGTTCTGCAATTATGTTTCTCTTCAAAGACGTGATTGCCGCGTACATATTGCAAGTAAAAGATAAACATTACATAACATTACAATGTGAAGACTGGTCTGGGTATTTTTCTTTATATTTGTTCTTCCTGCTAGCAAGTGTGTCTTGTCTGTTTGTGTGGTTTTGTGTGTGTGTGAGTGTGTGAGAGAGCGTGTGTGTTTCTCTCTCTCTCTCTCTCTCTCTCTCTCTCTCTCTCTCTCTCTCTCTCTCT